TAACTGCTATAACTCTCTTTGATCTGCTGCTTTAACCACATGTTAATCATCACATTCATTTGAATATAATTTTTCCTTGACATCTGTGATTTTAGTGAATTTTAGAGTGAGTTAAAGTATTAAAGTAAAATTTCTGAATGTGTGTAATTTTACACGTAAAGTCTGTATAGTATGTTTGTTAGATTTCTTTATTCAGAGATTACTACTCTCAGCTGTTACAGTGAACGGTGCTGCTTATCAGAAGTGAACAAGCACAATCCATTCATTCATCTCAAAGTATGTGCGCCACAAAATGTACAGCACACTGCTGCTTCACAGCGTCACCAGTGACTAGTGCTGTTTTGCAAGGGGCGGCATTTCTCAAAATAGAGATGGAGCCACCTAACTAATCCCCAGTTACACAAAATATGTGCAACATAACATGCATGTTTCATGATGTCAGTAACAAGACATTCTGAGTCGGCACCATGTCTCCAGGAATGTAGTTTATGCCTTTACGAGCATTTATAGTATCTTAATTCTTATGCAGAGATTGTGATTTAGCCTTTTTTGTGTGTACCAGGACATGTTTATGGGCTAATAGGCCTTTGTTAGTAGTACTCTATTTATTTAATACAATTGTAGTGTGAACAGAAGGAATAATAAACAGGCTGACTAAACATACGATTCTTCTTTTGGGCTGAGAAAACCCTGTGTAAGGACACAAAAGGGGGACGTTTCCACTGCGGAAAGTAAATTCTTTTGAAGTGGAACTAATCATCTGAGGGATAGTTCTCGTTGTCCTAACAACGCAGCTGAATTGGAATGAGCCTTCTTTTTTGTGGAAGATATGTTTTCTTTTTTTCATTCAGAACTGATGATGATAGTAGTTTCACGCCCTGTCCACCCACATTGTCCGTCCAAACTTCTTTGCAGATAAGTCTCTACTTGGAGACGCCGAACACACGGCGGGTGACTCTTGGACTGTGACGTCAGCCTCACTTCTCTGTCTTCCAGTCTTTACGCTTTTTAATACCGTTAGAATGAAAAGGGAATCTCACAGCAAATCCTCTCCAATAACAGTTCTTTCTTAGAGTGTGAAAAGATCAAGACTTTTAAACTACTTCTATATCATAATGTACCAGTCACTCTTAAGATAATGCTGCTCTAAAGTTTCAAGTTTTGGTTGCTTTAAACAAAATTAAGAGTTCAATATATAATATATGTAAACATTTTTTCATCTCAGACTACTCTAATAGGATTTAGAATGAAAGGTAAAATAGTCAAAATATTCTATAATAAGTGGCTTTAATGCTCTTGTTTCTTTTCTTATTTTAGAATATCTTGAATGTATTAATTAATGCTTTATTTGCATTTCTCTTGTGTAAAATTCCTCTTCTTTTAAAGCCTCCAAGTTGTATTAATTACTCGCTTCTTCCAAGTGAACATTTGAATTACTGTGTTGTTTGAATATTTCCTGACATTAATGGACTGAACATGGTCGAAGGTGTAAAGGACTTTTTGTATTTCATTGGAATTAATTGAGATTAAATAAAAAAAATGACCTAAAAGACCTGTTGACGTTTGCATGCTTTGTACTCAAAATGTCAATCAAATGACATAGGTCTATAAGCCATTCTTTGTGAAGGCTTAGTCAGTCATTTATGATAAATTAAGCGAGCTATTCTTTCCCTCCATGTCAATGTTCTAAGGTGGTAAAAGGTTGCAGCAAAGTGAATGCAGGACAGTGACTATAATGTTCTTACTAAAGATAGTACATCTCATTTACAAACCAAGTAAGCGATTATTGGCTGGAATGATGAGGTCTTTGATTCACTGCGACAACTCCTTTGTCTGGAGCTGAAGGGATGTATGTGTGCTCCAGCTTCTGTCCAGGGTCTCCTCATACACCCTCAGGGAATTTAGAAAGGTAACTTTGGCCCTCTGACCTCACACTAAGAGAATTCCAATCTCTTACCGTTACTAAATCTTTATCTTCACACAGGCTGTATAGCTTTGCCTCCCTTGAGTTATAAACTGTCGGCCTTTCTGCTAGTCCTATAGTCATCCAGCCGTTTTATTGTCTCAGTGGGGGTACAGAGTTCAGGCAGCAGTCATTCCCAAAACAGAGGTGAACTGTTTCGGGGAAGCGTCTTGGATACTGTGCTAACTTATCATTCAGACCTGTTGAGGCTTTGAAGGAGCACAAAAAAACAAAATTGAAAAAACATGGTGGATTCTTCATTGCACATTAGTTGTAGATTTTAGTGCGCAGACAGTTTGTCACACAGATAAACAAAATTGCCCCTTGGGGAATGAATAAAGTATTTTGAATTGAATGTAATTGAAAAAAGCTCTTGTTACTCTTGTTGAAAGTGTAAAATATTCAGCTTTTTATCTTCAAAAACAAATAATATATCATCTTAAACACCATATTCATGGCGTAAAGCTGGTCATGGGAATGGAAATGTTAGCATCAATTATCAATCAAATCTAAATTAACCATAAAGTAAGATTTAAAAATTATCAGATCAGGCTCCAGAACCTGTGGCATATTTTTACTATTCATACTTTTTCATGCCTCTATTCAAAGCTTTCCCACTGTGTATTACATATGCAAACTTCTGATGGCAATATAAGTCTACATTATTCATAAATTCTCTCCTAGATGATTTATTAATTACAATATAGAAGGACACCCAAAGAACAATAGGGTTCAGATTTATATTATGTTGTAAAATAGTTCACATTTTCAACCCACCACATTAGCAGCCTGCTGGCAGTGAAGTCTTGAGTGTAGCCAGAGATTTGTCAAACAAATTAGACCCAATATGAGTCTGTGTTGATAATCGTGAAGTATTTGTATTACTGAGAGGCAGGTGGCAGCCAAATGAACAAAGTGTCCTCAGTCAAAAACTAATTCAAACACTGTACACACTTGTACTCAGCAGTCATAAATCTACATGATGTTCAGTTAATGCTACAGCTTTTCACACTCCAGTTTAAGTGTATTTAGACTGCTGATTCAGGATTTGGCAGCAGTGTATTCATAGTAATATCATGCAGGGTTGCAGTGACAGCAGAAGACAACTCCGTCTTCCTCAGTTGAAGACAAAAACAGCAGGAATTAGCCTTGTCTTTTTTTTTTTAATGGTGAAACAAATGCTGCAATGTTGAATCTGTTTTGTCTTGTCACTGACTCTGCTGAAGCTCCACTAGTACACCACACACACACACACACACACACACACACACACACACACACACACACACAGTATTACAGACTAGAGCAGGTTAAGGCAGGACACAGAACATAAGCTCATGGCGCACTTGAATGTAGGCCATTTTTAGTTCTTGTTAGTTAGAAGAAATTCAGCCCTTTAGAGGATACAAACTTAGAATCCTCAAAGAACCTAATTTCTTCTTTCCAGCTAGAAATTGCCTCTTTTAAAGCTCATTTAAAAGCACATTGCATTCTAAACTTGGCTGAAGAGGTTCATGTCCTGTAAATGCAAAATGGTTAGTAATAGCAATGCCCAGGGATACGTTTCTGAACAGAGCGATTGATAAGTTGTGTTATTATTGTATTATTATTGCATTATCTTGATATCTTCCAAATATCTCTTGGCTTGCTTTGTCATTTTTACATGCCATGCGGTAGCTGGTTGCCATTGTCATCATGGCAGACTGGGAGCCGGGGAGAGGACGCCAGCACTGTGCCAGTTGGCTCAAGTAGTGAAAACACAAGGCAGACACAGCACGATTCTAATCTTTTACGTTCCAGACACGAAGGTCACTTTTGTGGCGATTGCAGTTTATATGCGGCCCATTAGTCACAAGACAGATTCCATATACTATGTATGAATCTATGTAACCATATGCAGTAGACCTTAACTCTCACTGACTTCATGTGTGTATTTAACCAAGTTAAGTACAAGATTTAGCCAGTGTAGACTATTAAAATGTGGATTTTCCCCTTAAATTAAGGGGAGAAGATTGAGGTCAAGTTATTCAGACATGCTACGCAGTGTTATGTAACACTGGGTGAGCCAGAGCCACTGCAGTGATCCAGCAACAAGAATTGTACAAGTCTATTATTAGAATGTAAGCTACCATCAGATATGGTAAATAGGTAATTGCATATCTTACTTGTAATATTTCTCCTGCATTTTCCCCAGAATCTTATAACACCATCATGTACAGATAGTAGGAATCACAGGAGGCTCATCGTGACGAGTTTCGCCTATTCAACCATTTCCGTTATAAACCAAACAGATTCTGCTTTCTTCTATGCTGTGCTTCATTCACTGTAGCATACATCAAATAAAAAATGTGTGCACCTTAACTTATTGTATAGCTTTATCAGTTTTCATGCATCCAGCCTGTAGACCTATCCTCCTGGTGGTGCTTTGCTCGGTAGACAATAGTACTGCAAATATCAGGGGCCAAGTCATTATCTCCTGCTCAGCAGGTGTAGACATTATTGGAGTGTTGAACTAATGATATGTAATGAGCTCTCTGTGACACATGTCTAGCCACCCTTACTATCATGGGGCCCATTAATAGATAACAGCATCATAATTAGCTTCGTTGGGAAGCCAAACCTAAGCTTATAAATACATCAAACTATATTTAAGTTGTGTGTGCAGTTTCATGTGCTTTGTTTTCCTGCGCTGGGCCAGAAAGTGAATTAATCTTGCTTTTTTTTATGACTGTTTGGTGAATTTAGTTTGCGCATCAACATGGCGATGTCCTATCAAACCGCTGATGCTATACACACACCGTTTTCACACCGTGCCCTTTCCAAGTGCACACATGTACAATTGTCTGTAACAACGACTTTTCTTTTTAAAACAAACACCAAGAAAATTATTCCATGACCAGCAGAGGGGCGAGTCATTATTTGTTAGTGTTTTCAGTGTACTGGGTAAATTGAAAGCCCAGGACACAAATACATGGCTGTCTTAAAAATTTATATTGGAAATGGTTTTGATGTTGTACCCCACTGCAAACACTTTCAGCCTTCTGCAGGTCTCCTAGCAACAGCAAACAAAGGCAGGACCCATCTCAAGTTTCCCGTGGAGCGGCCAGTCCGGCTTGCCTTTGATCTTGACTGGGAAAATAGCTGAGTGGGCACTACTCACATTTGTCTTTCATTTACTCCAGCCCCCACTGCCCCCCTCCCATAATGTTCCCTGGAACAGCCAAATCTTCATCTGTCCCCAGCAACCAACACATCTCCTGGATAATCAACCATAGCAAGGGAAGTCATTGAAGCACTACAAAGTTTAGTTGAAATTGGACATTTCTGTTTTGGAGCTGGGCTTCTACCTTTAGCAGGCTATCATTTGTGTTTTGTCTGTGCAGAAAAGTGAGTGTGTGAATCCAGATGGTATTTTATCCTTTGTTTCCCTTGTCTCAATATAGTCTTGCTGCTGAATCTATCAACCTGTTTGTCCCAGGGCTTTGAAATAAAACCCCTTAATAAACACGTAAAGTGCCATTAACCCTGCCTTTGCAAATGTTTTCAACTTAACGAACTTGGACTACACTTAAAGTACTACTTTTATTCCATAAAAGTCCCAGTAGCCACAGAAAAGTGGGCACACAGTGGAGCTGATGTGGATTTTAGAAGTCATGGGGCTGCCTCAGAGTGCTGGTATTTTAAATTCAACATAAAAAAATTAGGATGCACACAGGAAAAGGAATATTTTGAACTTGTTTCCCCGTGTTTAATAATGCTTTTCGAGATAAGTCCCAGGAATCAAAATATAAATAACTCGCTCATTCTATTCCCGACCAAAGATAGATAGGGCAATGTATCTTAAGGCTATTGAATGTTATCTTACTCCAGTGCTCTGCTTTCATCCAGAACAGCTCAGACAGCTCAGGAGATTTAACAAATTGAAGTGTTACACACTGTTTTGGTGTAATTTACTGTAATTGATGTTTCTATCTAGTGCCAAGGCCTTCTAAAGCAATTGCTTGTGTTTGTAGAAAGACATGCAGCCCAGTGGGGTGTATTGACTCAGGCTGTTGACTAATACTGCTCTATTGGCATGTTTTAATGCTCTCCCATTGTTTGACTAACAGACTCCTCTGTAAAGCTAAAAGCACTGCTTAAGATGGGGATCAGTTTCATACTTTGTCGCAATAAACTGGAAGTTTTCTTTTCGTGTGAATGGGTCAGCATGTTTTGACTGACCTGGTTCTGTATCCCTACTACAATGATCTGGGTTTAGGGCACTGCTTACAATGCTCAGGAAATTCCCCACTTCTATAGTTAATCTCATCGATGATTGTAGTTTTTACAAGAAGAAATTTTTGTCAAAAGTCACTTTGTCACATTGTTACACTGTACATATTGACTTTGAAATGCAGTAACCTCATTAAGCAATGGATTGTGCACAGAACAGCAGTGGCAGACCCAGTTCTTTTGTTAATGACCCAATATTTAACAAGGAGAGTAGCATGGTGCAAGTGTTTCAGCATTAGTTGATTCCATATTCACTGTGGTTGAAGATGTATTCACATCCTTTACGTAGGAAAATATCAGAATGTAAAAATACTCCATCAAATCTGTTAGTATCACAAGCAAAATGCTTGTTAAAATACTCATTATGCAGAAAAATGAGCTTTTAGTGTTGCTAGTTGTGGGGGAGCTGATTTTAAAATATTTCATATAGATCATATGGTTTATTTGTACAATCTTGGTAACCATAACTGTGAAATCAAGTAGTCAAGTAAAAATTACTAATATAAATATTTCCCTCTGAAATATAATGTACTCAGTTTCTTTCCCCCACTACATATTCAGTATTTTGCACATCAAGATAGTCTGCTGTAGTGGTTTGCACAATAAATGTAATGACTTAAACAGACATTCAAAAAGTTGGTCAGTGTATCAGAAATACAACAAGTTAGACAACGTTTTCATCCCCAAATACATTAGGTACAAATGTAGCAACATAAGAAAAATAATGAGAAGTTAAATATTTTACGTGATTAGATATTTTAACTGAAAGCTGCGATGCCTTTAGAAGCTCTGAAAAAAGTGGACCTTGAGTGAAGATTGTTTTTAAACTATTGTTTTCAAGGTCAAGAATAAACCGTCACATTCAGTATTTTTTTTATGCTAAACGTATTCTATCCCATATACAGTTCTCTCTCAGAGCTACTTTTGGCTTTGCTGACACTTCTGAATGTCAGCTTCAATACAGCGACTCTATCACATTTCTGTTAAGGTACATGTAAACAAACATAAACACAACAATTAATCAAAATACCTAAAAACATTTCACATGACATTGTTTTCTTAACTATATTCTGTATGAGTGCCATTTGTGTTGTATTTTTAAGCTCCCTTTAGAGAGAAGAAAATCCATATTTCATCTGTTATACTGATGCTTGTTTGTGAGGAACACTCATCCTAGCTGGGTCCTATTTTGGTTTGTCAAAGCAAAGCTGCAGAAGAGCCGGTTTTTACATTCCTTCATGATCCTTTTATGGAAGTGACTATGGTTTGGATTGTTACATGTGAAAGAACTGTGAAAAAACTGGTCCCACCTCTGCCTTCAACCGCCTGTATCCTCCCCTGCATACACTTTCCACGCTGAGAAGTCTTACATTCATTACCTTACAATACTCAGTTCTATATAGGCGCATTGCTCAGCACTAGACCTGAAGCAGAAGTGAACACTGTTACCAGCATGACACAGGATGATAAACAAAAGGTTGTGATCTACTACAGAGAAACTGAAGTGCTCAGATAAGCAGACCCTTGCCTTTCAAGCAGTCTTGTGACCTGGAAAGACCAAGAAAGGTTTGCTTTTACTTCTCACCTTCAAGAAGTCTTTTCTAACTAAAAGGGTTCTTCTGGGAAGAAAAAAAACAAAAAAACATTTGAAGAACATTTTTCTCTCTCTCAAAAACCCATCGGAACACATTTTAGCATATTTATTTATAGCATGTTTCTGATTCAGAATCCTGCGCAAAAAAAGACTGTTATAGCATCAAGTATCATCACATTACCCCTGACAAAAAATAAAGCATGTCTTCATGCTTGTCTGAACCAAACCCCACACAGAGTTATACCCCTCTGATACTGCATGTGCCATCTGACTCTGACAACAATGTTGGGGTGGAGAATATATTAATATCTTCCTGAGCCCTAAGCATGCACATTTACTGTCACCTTAATTCATCAGTTTATATGCTTACCACCTCTAGGTGTCCTAAAAGGTACTTTATGGAACCATTTCAATATTAAGCCTTACTATAGCAGAAGGGTGAGGCTCTTAGTCATTTATAAATTTGCCAGTTTGCTATTTTAGTTTGTTTTAAAGGCAGAAGCCAACTTACAGTGGGCTTTCAGGTATGTCCTAAGATGGACATTAATGATGCCTGAGCTCAGAACTGCCTTATCCACTGAGATCAAATATCTATTTTACAACAGAGACCTAGCCAAGGTAGCAGCCTCACAAAATCACAGTATACTTCAATATAACACCATATACAAAAATCCACAATAAAACACAACAGCTTTTCTGAAAATACAGGTTCTTTTTCTGAAACTAGAACTGTAAGTTGAGTTGTGGTGATGTATCTAAGTAACACAATTATCAAATATTACTTCAAAGAAAGGGGTCCTATTAGATGGTGCATAGTAACTGTTAAGAGTGCTGCTCTTAACATTTCCCTTACGACAGCCTTGTAATTACAGAGCTTCATAATGATATCCTTATAATGAATGTAAATCAACAATTACATAAAGATACTGTACAAGATGTATATTAGTAAAATGTCATCATGTTAATACAATTTATTTTTTCTCTCATTTTACATTTTCTAAACATTTTGTGTTTCCACCACCATTAGCAGAGCAGCACACAAACATATTTCTGGTTCAAGTTCTTGTTCTAGGCACTTCCTGAGCTCCTGCCAAAATAACAGGACCCACATGGGACCAGAGTATGAACAGTGAGCTGTGAGTCACTTAGATTTTAAAGGTCCAGTGTGTAACATTTAGGAGGATCTATTGGCAGAAATGGAATATAATATTTACAGGTATGTTTTCATTAGTGTATAACCTGAAAAATAAGAAGCATTTGTTTTTTGTTACTTCAGAATGAGCAGTTTTTATCTACAGATGCTGGGAATTGCCTGACATGGAGGTCACCATGTTGAGCCACCATGTTTCTACAGTAGCCCAGAACGGACAAACCAATTACTGGCTTTACATCCGCCGTTGTTTCACAGTCACCATAGTTTCTCCTTTGCATTTGGAAGGGGAGGTTGAAGTGAAGGAGGTGCAATCTGCTATTACACTGCTAGCTGCCTACACACTGATCTTTTAAATGGTCAGTTTACCCAAATTAAACATGTTTTTTTCATTTGCCTCCTGTTGTATGTACCCACATAATGAGGTTTGAATTTATTCATTTATTCACCTCTAACATTTGGCCTCCATCCCAATACAATTAATATAAATGTAATCTATTGTATGTTTTACAGACGTAACTATGAAAAGTGTTTAATGGAACTACTTCATATTGAAGAAATGGTCCCATTTAGGGGTGGAAGCAGAAACCCAGACAAATTAAAAGAATGTTTTTTGCATGCTAGATACTTCTAAAGGTAAGTAAGTAAACAGTTTTGTTCTGTTATTTGGGTGAATTGACCCGTCAACTCAAAAGCCACTCACTGCTTTTTTAACTTGTTAAATTCTGTCTATGTTTCCAATTAAGATTACTTTCTCCTGGGTAGATAGACTTTAATCATTACTTGAGCATATTACCCTTGCTTTGAGGGACCATATTATTCCAGCAGTCATGTGAGTTACCTTAATGTTTCTGCTCATTTGCAGATAATTTGGTCCCAGTTACACTACTGCCAGATTGCAAAAGAGCACTGTTTAATTTATGTCTGTGAAAGAGGTGGAGATGTTTCAGAACAGTTTTGCTCATTTGACAACATGGTGCAAACCCACCTACACTTTCACAATTCATCATAATATGAGTGTAGACCATTGTTGTGGTAGCTATGCAGTTAAGTTTTGCATTTCATGTTTAACCTTTAAAATAGTTTTTCTCCATACTTAAAGCTTAAGCGAGCTCAATGTGCTAAATTCAATTTGGGTATATGGCATGACATAAATTTGGAAAGAGGTTCTCTTCAAAGTGTTAACCAGTAGATTTACTGAAACTGGCATCAATCAGCATTTTTTAAACATGTATTTAACGTATGATCTGTTGGCTGTTGCTCTTTCCAAACTGAGGGAATTTATTATGCTGTTTATTGATTTCTGTATCATTTCTGGAGTTTTCTGGAACATAAGCTGCTACACCTACACAGAAAAATGACTATAGAGTTCTATAGATTTCCAAACATCTCTGTTAGTCTGCAGTCATTTTAACTTCTGTATATTTTTTGAGTGCCTCTTTCATTTTGAAATGTGAGTCTGCTGGAATCTCTGGGTACTTAAAGAGTGAGTAAGACCCGCATTGCTATTTAGAGTGATGCAAAGACATGTTACACCATCTCAATCTGTGTCAGCCTATATGCTATGTACACTTGGAAGAAGTCAGTGTCTGTTTGTGCCATATAGATTTATCACCTCTTAAGTTTATGACATTTCTGGAGAGAAAAAACAATCATGGCACAGACGGAGTGGGGGTGGGGTGGCATTTGTCAGTGCTCTCATTGGGGTTCAAAAGTAGAATGCAAAATGTCTGTCTTTGTCTAATCCAACACATTTTATTTTTGTAACTGAGAAATCTGTTCAGGGACCCCAACATTTTTTCCAACTGTCAGGGTGTCATTTGTCAGAAAAAAAGTGAAACTGAATTCCCACCCCCAGTCCTTCTGTACGTTGTGAGGTTATAGCTGTTTCAAACACGCAAGGTGGGGGTGTGAAAGGGGCGCACACGTGGACATGGCGACCTGAAACACACACAATTCCTGGTAATTTTGCCCTTCAGAGAGCACTTTGGCCGACTTCTTTTTTTTCAAGCTTTTATGCCTTTAATGGATAGAGACAGCCGAAGGTAGAAAGGAAAGGCGGAGAGAGAGGGGATGCAGTAAAGGGCTACTAAGGGGACTCACTCTTACTACATGGGGCATGAACTCTACCAGGTGGACTACTGGGGCGCCCCTCCTGACTTCCTCTTTGACACTATATTGCCCTATAGCCTCATCCTCCACCAGTTGACTTTTTAAAGAGCCGAAGCCTTTGGGCTCGAGAGTATTGTCCCTCATGATTGAGATGCTAACCCTCGGGGCAGCCCCTTGCTCTTTAGTGTCTAATTTTTTCTTCTCTCTTCTCCCTGTCCTCCTCCTCCTGCTTCGTCTTCTTTTTCTTTCCCCCTGGTTCGTCTCTGCCAGCAGCCTGCACAGTGAGGCCATCGAGCCATTAGTGAGTCCCAGCACTGATAATGAAGCCACAGAGGTGGTCTGAGCCAGTGTGGCACAGGAGCTGGAGCACAGGAGGAAGGTAGATTAGGATAATTACCTGGCCACGGGGGGAACGATGAGAAAGATGTCTCACTTCTTGCAGGCCTCGATCGGAGAAGGACCAAGTGCAGTATAATCAGGTGCGACGCCCTTTGCTCAGAAAGGAAAGAAAAATTAGTTCCAATCATTTCTAATGATCAAAATGTGAAATGATGCATTTCTGATTGTGTTGTGACAGTGATTGCTCATTTTCCTGTTCTTGCAGGCGTCCTCCACATCTCTCTCATGTACGTATGTATTTATTTGTTGTTTATGTAGCTGTGGTTTAGGTCTCTTACACATACTGTACGTAAGTCCTAAATATACACACTCATGGACACTTTGAAGAGCCTATGAGGTCAGGTTTTAAATTATGGTCTGCACCCACACCAGGCTTTCTCTCCCCACTCCTGTAAATCCATTTTCCACACAATGCATTTCAAATCAAAGCAGCGTCACCATAACACGCCTTAGGAAACATTAAGCCATAGTGCATTACTTTCATGTATGATAGCATAGCCCCTGTATGCTTTGATGTGCTCACTTTTTTTAATGCTTTATTAATAATAACACAGCTCCTTCTCCTGGTGCTCCTTTCTCTCCTCCTGAACTACATCCCTCACTCCTTCCATGCCTCAGCTCCTTCATCCCTCCCCAGCCCCTCAGCCTTGTCTCGGGATTGGCCTGTTTGTGTTTGGGAGGGGGGATTAGAGGGAATGACATGGGCCTTGAGATGAAGAGAGTGACAAAGACCTATCAGAGGGCAGAGAGTACGGAGCGCTGCATCATCATTGGTTGCTGTGGAAATCAGACACGTCTTCATTTCTTCCAGCCATCCTCTCCAAGAAGTGCCCAGCTTTCATTTCCACGCCCGGGGAGGGAAGCAGGGAGAGGCAGAGAGAAAGCTTGGGGGGGGTCAGGATTAGAGTTTTTGTTTGTGCATTTAAATGTGTGTGCATGTGCGTGTTTGCTTGCTTGTTGTTTGCAGTAAACATCTAACAGATACAGAGGGATGAGCACGTAGACACTGATAGCACTCACCTCCTCCAAAGTTGGCTAAAATACAAATGCTGGAGCAGATTTTTAAGCGTTGTTCTAGCTGAGCACGTTCCCTATGAATGGGATGCCTCATAACCATGTAAAACCTACTTAGGATACAGATTTCTCTCATTATTTCAGCTTTATCGCTGGATATTTTGCATTACTGTTACAGCAAATCCTATCCAAAAACACACAAAGGCTGTTCGGTATTTGCTGATATTTTTTTCTGACAATTTCAAAGAAATGTTGGCAATTTACTGGATCACTTAGCGGCTCCCCACATCCACATGTGTCTGCACAAACGTGCTGATTTGATTTTCTGCTTCTGTGTTTTCTTTTTGTTTGTGTTTCTTTTTGATGTTCTGTTCCTCTTTCTGTTATGTAGCGTTATTGGATCTTGATTTGTGTTATTGTATTATAATTTCAGCACACAACTTCTGAAACAGTTTCTCGGTGCATTTATATGCAATCTGTAGTTGTATTCTGTAAAAAATAAATATAATAATATACTAAAATAACTAATTTTCCATTTTTTTCAGAATGTACTCTATGCAGCTACATTTCCAAAAGCTATTCATTGACCTGCATGTATTTATTTTGTTGCACGTAGCATGCTAGCATGTATGCACGCTCACTCCAATTATTCAGTGTTATGCAATGTTTTATACACAGACTTGACAGCATTCGGCAGTGGAAACCCTTCCTAAAGTTTTCATATGAGGAACGTGCCTGTTGAGCTTGTTGTGCACCAGACTGTTGTCAGCATTTGCCTGCTTGTTAGGATGCAGCCAGTTGACTCTGGCTGTCTGAACAGTGATATGATGGGAGCAGTGGGGCTGGGCCCCAGCCGACTCCGCTCTCCTCCTCGCCCATAATAGATCTGCGTGGTCTGCGGGCCCTCTGGGGGCACCTGGCTCCGCTCCCTGCGATATCTGGCCGGATCGATCGCAGAGGCCATCCCAACGCAGAGACCAGGGGTCATCTTCAAAGGCCTCCTGCCCACTTCCTGCCACCTGGTGTTCCATTTTGGACAAAGGGTACATTTCCTTTCCACTCCCTCCACCCTCCGTTGCCCTTCTCCGAACAGGTTAAGGACATGAAGCCGGTACAGCTCCTCCCTGTGATCTCCTTCAGCTTCCTCCCCAGTTGCCCACACGGGGAGAGAGGGTGAGAGATCAGTCCCTTCCAAACACTACACAGTCACACACCATTTAATGTGAAAATATGCTTTTGATTTAACTATGGCCTAAGAATGCATAGCGCTCTACACAGAGGTGATTGGGTGATTTTTGGTTATGTTGCATTATGAATGTCCTGACAGCTGTCAAGTAAGATAAAATCTCTAAATCAATTTTAAGTCATTTCAATATTGTGCACCCATAAAAATGTTTCACTTCAGTCACTGACAAAATAACCACATCAACACAGAGAATTATTATTCATTGATAGGACGTATTTAATCAGACATTATTCAAATAATACAGTATGATACAAAAGTTAATTGAGGTAAAAGCTTGTTTATGATGGTTTATAATGATGCATTAAATTAAGTGAACTTTTTGGCTCTCACTTGAAACATGTTTCATTATTAACTGATCAACAGATTTGCTATGGTATGAATATCTCTATCTCTCTTTCCCTGTTGGTCAAGTAACAAATGGCAGGGCTATCGAACACACATTTTATCTCCATGAGAGCTGTCGGACAATTAGCTCCAAGAATACATATTAATCAATCGAGATTTTTGAATCTGTTTATTAAGCCCAGCCATTTTCCCCCTCCAATACATTAGCAGATCTCAGTATGTCCGCTACTCTTGTGAACAGGGATGAGAAGGAGATAGAGGGAGAGGAAATAAAGGTCTGATGAGTTTGGCAAAGAGAGGATGGAGGCTGAGACAGATGGCATGAAGTCTGCAGCACTCTGGCGTGGCTCGCCTGGTGCTAAAATCCTCCTCTCTCACATTCCAACAAATCCTACCAGGAGGCTGGGGAGTCTGTCACACCACTCCAAGGATCCACACGGCTCTCTTCACCCCCCCCATCAACCACCACCCCCACCCCCACCCCCATCTCCTGCTTCTCCTCTGTCGCCCCGGCCCAACGGAGCCTCTGACCACTCTGTACCGCATTTCTGCTATTTTATCCTCACATATGTATACATTCACACAGCATGTATAGAGGAGGACCATTTAGACCTTTACAGGCCTGTAAAGATAAGAAGCACCAGGGGGTGCAGATATGAAGAAATGCTGTCGGTCGGTTCTTATGGAAAAAGAGGCAGGGGGCTTAATTCAGAGAGAGGCCTTTATGGTCACTCCAGTGTAAAGAATCTTATTCAGTAAACACTGGGCAAAATCATGGGGTAAAGACTGTACAATCCATTTATATCAGAGAAAGAAGACATAAGAAGCTTTTTGATTTGTTTCGCCACAACCCGCATCAGGCCACGGTCTTGAAAAGCATCACTGTAGCCCAATCTCAGTCCATACATACACTGTTCAGACCCATATTTTCGAGACTCCCTGTGGGCCTTACAATCCAAAGTGGACAGTGAGTGTAACTGTGATTACACATAGCACAAGACCAACAACTGGATAACGGGCTCCACATGAAATCTTCATCCAAACATTGTACCATTAGATATCCTTTGAATCTCCGAAGCACGTTCACTTTCACCATCTCAAACTGGTTCATCTGGTTCATAAGAACAATCTAATTTATTTTACAATGTGCTTTCTCCCCATGCCTCCCTTTCTCACTGACTTTCTGCCTGCCTTCTGTTTGTTTTAATGAATGACTTCTGAGATGAGATGCTGCTGTGAGGAGGTCACAGGGGGCTTCAGAATCACATTACTGTTAATGATAATAAAAAGAACAATCTGTGCTAAACCTCTTGGATGTCTGCTCTTCTCTCTCCATATGGAATTAATGTTTTATCTGCTATTGTTTTGAATATCTTTAAATGTTTTTTGAATTGAACTCAATACAATTAAAATGCACACTAAGTATTGTTTTGTGTTTTTATACAAGCATTGCCTTTTGACAAATGACTGCTCTGATTAAAGGTATACCATGGTACACCATCTGGGTTACGCCACCAAGCACAACATCAGGCACATCTTAGCAACATGGTGCTGCTTAAGAAAATATACTCCCTACGGTAAAATTTTAACTGCATGATGAATGCCAAGAATACTCAAATGCAAACACAACTTCTAACATTTGACAAGCGTTATGGAGGAGTCAGGCTTTAATGATGTGACTTCAACTTTTTACTGACAAAAGGTTAAAGAAGTTCTCAGCTTTTGCTCCAACTCCATTCAACTTAAATTAAAGCAATTAAGTGGAATCAGGCCTTACAAAGAAGTCTGTTCAAGCATGCATTTGATGGATGACAACTTTCCTCATGTTTGCATGTCAAGTAGGTGCAACACCGACCTAAATAAGCACAGCATTATTAACCTCAGTATAATGGCAATGACAAAAACCCATGTTGACACAGCTTTAGAAAATGTTTTGAGATTAAACAAATTTCACAAAGCACAAAATAATACACCTAGCTGCTCAGGATGATTTGCTATGCAGGTTTTCAACACTGGTGCAGGCTGTCATATCAACATCTACTCCACACCAAAGTGTTTGCTTGGGTTGTTTACATGGATCTGACATTCACAGGCAGATCATCAGTGACTTTCCCTCCCACCAACACAGAGATAGAGTTGCTGGCTGTCCTTCCTGCGTGGCAGGGCAGCGTGGCGTCCCCAGGCTCATTGGCACTGCAGCTGTCACCCACAGGATGGGAAAGTGGCAGGGTCGATGGCTCCGCGGCGTGGCTTCTGGCAGTGTCCCTCCCTTCCTGGCCTGGTGAAAGGGCAGGGATGGGGAGCCCAGTCTCTCAGTGCATTGATCGAGGGCCAGCCCTCCATTAGCCACTGTCAGAGCTAAAGGTCAGCTAAGGCCAACGGATGGGTCCTGTGTGCGCATCCTATGGAGTGACTCATTCTCACACCCAGGGAGTGAGTCCTTGTCACTTTGGTCTGTGCTGCCCCCTACTCCTGGTGGCCACATGACGATGGCCGCTTCTCTCAGAATAGTATACCCCTCCCTGATGGATTGATGTGGACAAAACTCACTCAAATATCCCTTTTTTTGTTTGATGTCAGCCACATTATGCATTATTGTTGCTTTTAGCGATATTACGATTTCCTGCCAAATTAAAAGAGCCTTCCTTCTAATTTTCTCCAACAGAAATTGCTTAATAAATGAGCAGGCCCTGATTTGCACAGATGATCACACAGCAACACAATTGCATCAAATTGCTCACCCAGAGATTGTGCACCACATCGTGCTCATCACTGAGTGGCAACTACTGCCTGGTGTGGTTTACATGAATGCAGCCAGGCTGTGAAAAGGGGATAATTGTGGTGCTAAATGCTGTAGAGGCTGACAGGATCCATTTCTTGACTTGTCAAGGGCAGCAGTGATAGAGAGGGTTGTGCCGGGGTCTATACACACACAGGCAGATGAGGTTATTTGCACCAACACGAGTGCACACATGTGGGTACATGAGCACACACACATATGCAGACAAAATCAGCCACAATCCACATAGAGATGATTGTCTCTTGCCTCTGTCAGGTTGTGCTTTTTTTCTCCAGCCATGGAGACCTCATCCTGGGAAATTGAGCAATTTCTGATTGAAAACAGTGCCGGTAATTAGAGCACTCACTATTTGTAACCACTTGGCATTGCATTAGTATGCAAAGCTGGCAGCCAGCTTATCTTGGGGAAAACGTTTGTTTCCTTAATTGCCCTCTTAGGACAAAAGTGAAGGGGGTGGGTGGGGAGGGAAGAGAGTAAAATGTTAACGGGCTGCAGTAAGAATGGAGACTGGTGTGTTGAGGGGATGTGACTCCCTGAACACAGGGGTTAAACTCCACTAATAGGCTGAATACAACACACATGGGCACACACAGGCACAGAGTAACAGTGGAGCACTCATACACCCACATATGGGCACACACTTGCATTGGCACATGGGCACATGGAGGCACAGACAAAAAGACAACTATGATGAGCGCACACATTCCAGGACACACACAATTAGGCACAATTAACTCCATAGACATACTGTACGCTGTAAAATTAGACATGTAAAAATAACTATTCACCATACTAATGAATTAAATGACCTTGTCTTTAAATAAAGAATCCATTAAGATGTAAAGCAGGAAATGAGCTTTCTTCAGCTCGCTCAAATGGTTAAATAAATACTGCACATATATCCATCTGCCATTAAGATAATCATTAAGATTAAATTATTCATCATCTCTTAGTATCTGTTGAATGTAAAGCTTTTCCCAGCAACAGCTAATTCCTACATTGCCTCTGTCATACTTTTGTAGGTACTTCTCTTACCGTCACATGTAGAGGGGATGCAGAGATGAGTCTTTCATGTCAAATTCTGCAATATTTTGCTGGTCATCTTGCTTGTCTCATGTTCACAAAGTGATGGATGTGGAAATCTTAACTGGATCCTGATGGGATGAAACCACAAATATTTCCACTTTCAAATTTTACTTTTGGCAGTAAAATCTAGTATTTAGGTTTGCAGAGATGCAATTTTTTTCTCTTTCTCTTCTCTTCATGGTGTGTTTGAAATAGTTGCTGAAGTACTATGATTTCCCCTGATTGTTGTATCTATATCAGATCATTTTCTCTTTCACAAAACAAAAAGGGAAATTTAATTAAAATGTTGTTCCACATGTAAAGACATGAGGATGATTTACTTTTAAGAACCATCTGCGCACATATGAAATTAGTTTTCTAAATAGTCAGAAAAACACTGTCTTGTAGTACATTTAAGGGGAAATTTTTTTTTTTTTAAATATAGATACTGTTGTTTTACTATTTTCATAAAATGAATGCCATTTAGTTACAAATCATGTTTGAAAGAAAGACTTTTCATTACTTTTAAAGAAAGACTTTAATGTGAAGCTTTGTTCCTTCTGAAAACCTAATAACTCTGATTGCCATAAAGCACGTGGCTTGTATATCTGTCTGAAGACAATGAACCCTTTACTCAGTTGCCACCTTGCTGATTTGAAAAGGAGCATGATTTGTTGTGTCCTGCCTTGGAAAAAAACAAAAACATTTAATGAAATATTTCAAACTGTGATGACGAGTTGAAATGTTCTTTGAAAAGGTTAAAAAAAGTCAAAGTCAGTCAGCGCATGCTTCTAGGCGATCTTATTTCTAATAGAAACACTATTTTTTCACAATATTTGAGTCATGCAAAACCATAACCTCCCACTTTGACTTTAATACTAATGGCTTACTCCGAATGATCTAATGCACAATTATGTGTAATTGAAGGAGGCGATTTTCTCTTTATCGAGATATGACAATACAGTTTGGATGAAGTGATTGTAATTTACATAAATGAGTTTTTTCATGTGTGTAACAATGGGACAAAAACTAAAAAGCATAATAACACAAGAAGTTATATAACGGATTTTGACGTTAAAATTGAACGCATGAGTACACTTTTGAATCCTTTAGGTTATTTTTTCTAAATAAAAATGTCGTTAGTCATGATTACAAAAAATTAACAGCCGGGTTTTAATAACCTGCAGCAAATTATGATCAAAATAAGTCCAAAACTGGAACGAAATAGCTGAAAAGTACGGTAGTTTTGCGAAAACATTGTTATATATTAACAAAAGGTTTTCAATTCTGTTCTACAGCGGAAGTAAAGGCAACAGCAGCCTCGATGCTACAGGTGGATGAATAATGATAAAAACATCCCCCACAGTGTGGGCCTGGGCCTTCTGCTGTACTCTGGTTACTCAGCTTCTGGTTCAAACAAATAATACTAGCATTAAAACTACTTCCCAATCAGCTTTATTTTAGACACTAAAATGTTAAAAGGGTCGTGATGTTAGATATAGGCCAATCTGACATTAATTGGTGCCCGATGAAATAAAGTTTCCTCTTTGTTCTCTGTCTGTCTGATCTGTTGCGTTTGTTTTCTTAACAAGGCGACAGAAAGTGAAGAGATTAAATAAAAGTTTTTGGAGCTGAACAGGTTGATTAAATAATGATGGACGTTCTCTCCCATCCGCAAAGTCTGTGCAAAATAAAAAAAAATACAGAATCTGAGAGAAATTAAATCTCCTCAAAACTACATGAATGAGGGACGGGTCCCGCCACAGGTACGCGTCCAATTTTAGATGATTTGGACGAATCTATTAGGATGATTGATATAGGCTAAAGATAAAATACTTTCTGGGGACGTTTTAATTAGCCACAGCTAATAAACCAACCGTTAAAATCATCTGGCTTAATTGGTCCAAATACTGGAATTATTAAGAAATATGTGCAAATGTTTATATTTACACCTCGAAATACGTGCCTGCACTCACGTGCACACGCGGCGGGTGGGCTAGGAGACTGTGTGTGTGTGTGTGTGTGTGTGTGTCTGTGAGTGTGTGTTGTGGAGGGTGTATGCCACATTTCCTGATGAATTTCACGTCACTCAAATCAATCACTCTGGCGTCTGTAAATTATCTTTGACTCGATAATGAAAGGTGTTCATCACTGTCTGTGGTTCTGGGGTTTATTAATCAGATTCTGGATTCTCTGTAAACCATAATGGAGGCTGCGGCTGATTTCAGTGTTTTGTGTTTTTTTTTTTTTTTTTTGCATTCTGCCCAACAAAACCTGGACTAACACAATGATGCTGTGTTGGGCTATTTGAAAAGGACTCCCCCTTTAGATCATCTCCATCTGAAGGTTTGAGAGTGTAAGACTTCCTTAAAGTTGTGAGGGCCAAAATGGCTTTAGGAGAGCTGAATCGGTGTCCGTGTGTACACACCATGTCCAACAAAAGCAGGGGCTAATCCACCTAATTTACACAATGCACAGGGCCCTGTTTACATGGGATATACCCACAGAGGGCCTCTGTCTCGTCTTCCATGCATTTCAGACCGGACAGAAGTGCACATTTTTTCTCTCTCTCACACACACATGCGAATGAAAGGCAAAGTGAATGAGCATTTGTGCGATCTGCAACAAAATCAAAGCAGATAATGTGGCGCTACAGAGAGCTTAAACATGATTTCATTTAAACTGAGCATCAGCATCTTTCACTTAGACTACTGCTTATTTTCACCTGTTTACACCGGTGCCATAAAACTACTGCTTCCAGAGATAAATCATTGCAATTTTACATATTTACATATTTTAGCCAGAAAGGTTGGAAATGTCTACTCCACACAATGTGGAGTAAAACAAGTTTACCTCAGGACATTTATTCGACTGTGTATAGAATTCATTATATATTTAGATTATAACGACAATAAGACTGGACAGTACCGAATATCATAGGTTGGGTCACTTTTGTGTTCAGACCTTTTTATTTAAACAAGTTAATTGACTCTCGATACAACATCTGAACACATCAAACAGACGAACAACAGCAGAATTTATCAAAAGGATCACGTTATAACCAAACTATAAGGTGCCCCAGGGCTACATTAGGAGTCAAAATCGACAGAATTACAAAAAGTAAAAACATTTTCTACTTTTTCTCTTTCTCTTTAATTAATTTAAGTAATCCCTTCCTATCTACTTCTTTCTTTCCACTACTTATGTGTGTGTGATTTACAATATAACCTCGAACTACTGTCAATCAGCAATGTGCAATTCCATAGCGCCTTTTACCGGATTCAGCCCATAACCCTAACCCTAATAAAAATACATGTTATAACGTGTTCTCTTCGTTTTATGTGTATAGTCTTTGAGTATTTGTGCGTAAAACAGATTAAACAGATTATACAGGAGTTTTATGATATCTAATCACTACAAAATAAACATCAAATAGTGAAGCAACCTGCGATATAAATAGGCTATTCAAGTTATTTGTTTTTTTTGTTTCAATTGAACGCACCCAAAAACTGCCCCAAAGTGTACTGTGCCCTAATATATAAAATAAACGAATAAGAAAAGCACAGAGAATAATCTTTGTAAGACGTCTCTGAATCCTTCTTTTTCTTCTTTTTCTTTCTCCTTTCCGTTTTGTAGACTTCATCTTCAAACAGCCTTTTCAACAGGCTCTGCGTTCAACTCTGAATGGAGCATTGTCTTATTTTATGTCTTTTCAGCTCAATCACCTATTGACTATTTAGGAAATAAATTAAGAGTCCTGGCTGCTGCGACGAATTTTAAATTGCTTTCATTACACTCCTAGATTTCCTGTTTATTCGTCTGCAGCTCTTTGTATCTCCTCCGTCTGTAGGTGTGTTTTACTGTTTCCGTAATTGCATTTTTCGGAAGGGGGTAGGTAATTACTTTGGCACAGCCAGGTAAATTCCGGCGCTAAATTGAAATATTCTGCTTTAATCCTGCCTGAATCCCAATTGTCAGGACACGGAGATGTGAGCAGCGGAGGAGTCATGTGGAGCTCCGGTTGCTTCTTCAGGTGAGCGTCGCGTCGCAGGGGGGCGGAGGATCTCCTCTCGCCGTCATAAGCATAAAACAAGATTACTAGATCTTTATCACCGAAAGCCCCCCCTCATAGAACAAGCAACTTCACCATCTCAGATTCAGCTGGGGAATGTTGCGTAATGAGCAAGAAAATGAATTATAAAGTCGTTTTGGGGGTATTTTTATTTTTATTTTTATGTCATAAATACTCTTGCATGTTTTCAGGAGTTTCATTCCTTTAACCAAAAAACAGGTGAGCTTGTTCATGTAAAAGTATCATACCGTGTTTGATGTCTTTGTTTTGCATGCTGGTTGAAGAAGAGCAGGCGCATAACATTCATTAAAAACAGCATCTTTGTCTTATTATAACAAAATATATATATATATATATATTATAGGATTGATTACAACTAAAATCTAGTTTGCAGGTTTTTAAGTATAGTCTCTCCTGCAGGAGGAAATGCTGGCAGAGGTTTGTTCATTCTGCTTGGCATGGTGCTGCCTGAATTTACCTTCCCCATATCTTTAATTTGTAGTCACCAGGAATAAAAGGCTGAGTCTCAGCTCTGGCAGCTCCCATGTCAGTCTTCGCAGGAGTGGGTGACAGAGAACAGCAGAGGCAGATAGCATGCTAAAATCGCATCACTAGAGACCCCACATCAAAGTAGACCAAACCTCAAATTGAGTGAACTTTTAAGCCAGAAAGACTGTGTGACATCAGAGCACCCAAAATGTGACTGTCATGTTTTTCAAACTTTGCTGCACACAGGCTCAAAGACTCGAGAAGCATTCAATGGAAAGCACTGTTCAAACACACACACACTAAGATTAGCAGTCTTTGTCTTACGGGAACTTCAAAGACCAATTAGATTGAGAGATGGGTGTGACGAATTTGTCAAAAAATAAGATGATAGATATCACTTTGGCAGTGAGCAAACATGGCTGGGGATTTCACTCAAGCACAGTCATTGACAAGGCACTGTCAGAAAATGTGTCATCTTCAGCAGACCTGCCAGTTGACAAGGATGCAGCTTGGGATTGAGACTGATCAATTCCCAAACTGCCAACCAGACATGGCTCTGATAGAGGCACTTTATTTTATGAAGTTTATAAAAAGTACTGTTTCGCTTGGATATATTGTCAACTTTTTATCTGCATCACAAGCCTGCACCGTCCCAAGGTACAGAAGCAAGAGAAAATGTGCAGCAAATTTTAGATAAAAAAAAAGAAACTGTTATATTTATCTGCAGTTTTCAAAACTTAAACAGCAGAGATTTGACCTTCCCACATTTCTATTTGCACTATACTCACGAATGTGGAGTATCGCTCACATGTCAGGTTTTGTTGTTTAATGTACACCAATTCAACACGTTTAATACTTGAGCTCATCTTTGGCCACTATTTCGAAAGTGAAGTCCGATACTCAAAGCACTTTCCTTTTCAAAGTAGTTTCCTGTTGTGCTTTGTGACCACAATAGTGTCAATCTCGTACTTTCAAAGCCTCATCTCTGTGTCAGCTTTGAGTAGCTGTCTATACATGTCTCCGAATAGAGTTGAGGCTTTGATGGCTGGTCTGAAAACAGTTGGGAGCATTATGACAAAATCTAAAGAGGAAAAAGTATTTCTATTGATTTGGCTGCACAGGAAATTTGACCTGAGATTTGTGAAATTGCTTTCATAGGCAGAAAAATTGTGTTTGATGGTTACTGTAACTCGGAAACATCAATTTATAATGAAACTCATTGTGGGAGCTATAGGACGGAAATTTCCAATCAGCTGTAAATTACACATCACAAGCAGAACTCCAGAACATCTGTAATATGAGATCATTACAAAATGTTATCTCTTAATCCATCAGTAGCAACACTCAATTAAGGCTCAAACTGCATAATAAGGTACTCAGAATGAGCATCATGTTGCCTCTTCTTTGTAGCCTAATCAACATATTGATTTCCCAAGTAAATCAAGTAGTCGATTGATAGAAAATGAATTCCCAATTTTGATAATTGAATAATTGTTTAAGACAGCAAAGATTTGCTTCCAGATGCTGATATCTGAGTATTTGCTGCTCTTCTTAGTTTATATAATTTAAAATCAAATGTCTTTAAGTTTCTGAACTGTCAGACAAAACAAGCAATATGTAGATGATGCCTTGGCTTAAACAAACTTGTTAAAATCAAAAATTAAACAATGGAAAGGAATCAAATTAAAAAAGAACCAATAGTTTCAGGCTCTTCCTTCAATAATAATTAGTTATACTGTATTTCTGTTTGAATGCCTTTGTATGAAATTTCTCCCACCATGGATCTTACATTCTTGTTTTCACTGATATAATAGTCAAAGATATGAGGTTTGGGGGCATGTTCGAAAAAAAGCTCTCAGTGTTGTCCTAAACAATAGCCATTTGAAGAGCTGTGTTTGAAGCCATGCCAAGTGATTGGGAATAATCAAATGACAATAATAATCAGATGAAAAGAGAGGCAATCTCAATAAACTTTGTCATTCAACTATTCAAGGTTCAATCATATCAGAGGTGTTTTGCATAACTATGAGACCCTGGTTCTAATCCTCAAAGGGTTTTGGGGCTACTTGGCTTTGCACTGTAGTCATTCAAGGTCTCAACCCGGTAGGAAATATGGGCTGCCATAGCAACACAAAGATGGCCTCTAAAGGCTTAGCATAATTCTTCCCTAATAGAAAAATAACAGCGGCAAATCCCGTCCTTAGTGAACTGGCTTATTTGACAGAGGCAGACTCCCACCTGTGAAGCACATAGTCACCACACCAATGCGCTAAGACTACGATAAGATGAAAAAGAGCCCATCTCTGGATGGGGATGGGCGGCCTAAGCTCAAGCCAAATTCTTTCTCTTCTCTGAAGCTGAAAACAGCCCACAGTGCGTCTCTGGCTAGCTTTAGGTTTTTGAAGCTGGACAATATGAGCTGCCAAATGAATCATGCTTTCTGTATAGTACTTAACTTTGAAGTGCTTAAGCTATACTCTGAGAAAAACTTTTGGCAGGAGAAGATGGGCTTATACAGGATCAAATCTTAGCCATTGAATTGTTTTTACCTCCTCGCACTCATTTCCGTGTTCATGGGATGTTCTAGTGGTAGTAATATGGCATTATGATGTTCTAAACCTGCCTAGTAACTGTCCTCTCCCTTCAGATTGTGATCACAAAATATGTGCTCCCCCTCCCTCTACCCCTCCTCCCACTTTGTTGCCAGGTACCACAGAGATGGATTCTTGTCACTGTGTGAGTTGCATCAGGATGATGAGCACCGGGGAGAGAATAAATTACCAGCACACTTTAGAGTGGGAGGCATGTAAGTATCAGCCGCTACAGCAGTGCATTGCTCTCTGCTTATGGAATCACTAATGAGGAGCAATACCCAGCGATGTAGCAGCCATGGTGATCGAGCTAAAATCAAAGGCTTTATGAAATCATTACTGTCAAAGCTAGCTACGAAAATCAAATGATTGCCCAACATGGGTTTCTGTAAGAGGTATATGGTGCTGTTTTGTCACACACAAAAGCTGGGATAGAGAGACGAGAGAGAGAGAGAGAGAGAGAGAGAGAGAGAGAGAGTTGTAGTCGAGAGATGTGGTGCTTCCTCTGCTGTGCACCTGAGTCAGCCATTTTTGGCTCGACTGGATTTCTGTTTGTTCACTACATTCAGCAACAGCTAGCGCCTCATTGTCTGGCTCAGACGCCGCATCTTCCTGTCAGCATCCTACTGTAGATGCCAGGCACTTGTCTTATTCAGCTACGTTTAAAAGGTATTTCAGCCCGCCGGGATGAGTCCTGCTACCTCATTCCTGACTGTGTATAATCTCATCATTGTCAGCAATGTTTTTTTCTGTTTCATGGTGCTCAAGAGCATGCAGTCAAGATGACAGAGCAGAACTGAAAGGGAGATTATCATTGTATCATAATGTCCTTTCAGCTCTGGGCAGAGAAAGCTACATGGTTTTGGCTCGCTGTTACCTAACTATTATATCAACATAAAAATCACTAAAAGCTAAAAAGATTTATGGCTTAATGTCTTAATTTCATTGAGGATAAATTCTCCCTATCTTAATATCTGGTTCTTATGGTTCTGAGAACCACAAGGGTGATGCATTAGTACTCTTAAGGGACTTTTTTTGTCATGCAAATTCACCAGCTTTCTTTTCTTATCAATTCATCTTTTTGCTGTTGGGCAAATATGCAAAATTCATGTATTAATATTCTATTCCTCCCATTATGTTAAGAGTTATTCAATATATTGTCATTAAAAACAATATATTTTTCTTTGCCCTTTACACCTTGAAATTCTGCTATTTCTACCTTTGAAACCACAAATGAAAACCTCCTCACTGGATCCTCTACATTCCTGCGGCTTGCCTATATTATGGAGTGATTCACAGTGGTGTCTTCACATTAAACTGGCACTGGAATTCATAATGGCCATATGTGGGAATGAATCTATTTTATAGTGCAGCCTCAGTGGCTAGGTGAATAGCAGCATACGTTAATTAAATCAACACTGTATGGACTACTGTCCATCGAGAGGCCGGACTATCCTCCCTGAGGGGAATCCCACTGAATGTCGGCCTGTAAGCCTCCTGTTTCAGTCGTACGCCTTTCGCACCTTTCTACATCAAAGCTTGCTCAGCTCCATGTCTCAAAGATTCACATCTCCAGGAAAGAATGGCCTCTGCTGAGATGTGGACACCTCTGGCCTCATTTAACGTGCACAGTCCCCTCCCCCCTCTCCAGGCCTGAATCTGAGGATAGAGTGGCTATCTGACGAGATCACACAGAGAGGTGCGGGAACTTAAAGGCAAAGAGTTAGTGTGCATCCTACCAGGAGTCTCAAAAGAGTTCTATTAAAACACGTTCAATATGCCGGTCAGGGCTTTCAAAGTGCTGCACACCCTCTAGCCCCGGCAAACTCAAAGGGCATCAGTGCACATTCTGTAAGGGGAATCTGGCCCCCATTAATTTAATGAGTCCAGGGTATTAGTATGCCATAGCCAGCAGTGAAGTCTCCCTTTTTTCATCTCTGGTGCAGTTTTAAGGAAAGATCCACCAACTTGGGAGTGACAAAGGAGAGCAGGGAACGAGGTGCGCTCATCTAATCTGAGATCAATTTCTAGCTGTCAGTCCTCAGAGGGCAATTTCCAGTGGTTAAGATGTCTTTGTGCAAGCTGGAAATCCAGATAAAGAATGCAGAGTGGCACTTTTACTGTCACCAGGAGAACTTTGCTGTCTCTTTATCATGATTGCATCCTCAGGAAACAGACATGCAACTTGTAAAAAAAAACAATGGGAAGGGGATTGGCGCTTGGAGACATATTTGCATAACATATTTGGAAACATGCTGTGGTCATTATAGCACTGTGAGCTTTTTTTTCATTTAAATCTTGTCTGCAGTCACTTCACAGTTAATTAGCTTGGTAAACAGCGATGTTGCCTTCTAAAGCTCTAAGACCTGACTTATAGGAGAACACACAGCCTGTCACTATACAGCGAGCTGACATGCAACTGACAGTCACCTGTAAGAGATTACAGAGACAGTGGAGTTTGCCAGGGCCTGTCAACCAGGAAGTAGCAGCTGCTGGAGCTAATTAAAGCCATAGTAACATGGTAACATAGCCCAGCTGAAGGCCACATCAAACACTCCTCTTCATGCCAGTCTTGAGTCTCATCTCTGGGATGTTGAGGCCCTCTGTGACCTGTGCTGGGAGCCTGCTGGGCCCTAGGCCTGACCTGAGAGCTGTGAGGTGAATCAGAATAGGCCAGGATCTCTGTGGGGTGCACCTGGACCGGTCTTACCTGTGTCTGTGTATCTGCATACCAAAATGTGGCCATGCGGCTGTGTGGGCGTGGGTGCATGGACTCTGACCTGTACAACAAAGCAAAAGAGAGAGCCTAGGTGAGAGGTCAGGAGGAGGGAGGAGGCTTAGGGAAAACACACGTAGGATGCATTGGCTAAACATGATCAAAGGGGCACATATGGCTTGGCTGAGGTAGAACCAGATGCCCTCAGATGTCCTGATGAAACATAAGCTCAATGTAAACATGTCGCCTCAGTACAGATTGTGCTTAAGTTATGCATAATTTAGCGATAAGCTTCAATTAAAATTCAATAACACTGTGTTTATCTGGTTATCACTAGATTAAGAAATACTTAACTTTGCCCAGTTACAAATAAAAAAAGAGATTGCCATCTCTCAAAATATCAGTTCAATCGTAATGAGCTCTCTCGCTGAACAAAAGTACCTGAAGCCCACTGAGGAAAGGTTGTTCCAGCCAATATTTATAGACATGGGATAAAAGATAAAAGATAAAAGAACAGATAGTTGACTCTCACCGGTCCGTCTGTTTCTTCTCTGAATCTGTATGTCAGTTGTAGAGCCTGTGTGTAACTAACTAGAGAAACATATCCAAACAAATATCCTATGAAACCTTTGCTCAAATGCAGTTGCAGCGATAACACACCAGAAAATACTTCGGAAATAGTTTTATCACATAATAGCAAATGTTCTTGAACCAAACCCAAATTCCTTCCTTTAGTACTAAGTTAATCCTAAATGCTTCTCCGTAAATAAGCTTACATTTTATGTATTGACTATTGCACCAGTCCCACAGCCATTTTTCGTTTCCATACTTTCCAAATCAAATGTTTTCATGTTTACTTACTCCGAAGTCAACTTTGATACATTACAGCATGACAGGGTTGATGCAGTATCACATAGGTGGCAATTGCAGTGCTGATTCAACATCGAATCTAAAAAGAGTGTGGCAGAAGGCAGTGGGCGTTGACTGAGTCCAATGATCTGGCCCTGTTAGGTGGAATGCTCTGGGTGCTGTGTTGTTGCTCTTGGGGCTTGGGTCATGCTGCCATGTCTAGGAAGACATCTGCAGTACGGCACCATGGTATGTCTCCCCGGGGAGCCTCTCTGCAGCAAATGGAGCCTACCTGAAGCAGGTCTCTGTCTCCACCTGCCACACAGGGAGCAGACACAACGTCACGCAGGGATGCATGTAGACGGACCTGTCTGCAGGCGTGTCACCGTCAGCTGAGACAGACACCAATTTACCACCATGTTGGGGGGAGGGGGGGTGAACACATCTGATGTATGCAGAGAGCATGTTCCAAACTGCACCTTCAAAATAGAGGATTTTTTTTTTCTTGTCTGCTAACACTTCACAATAGCAGTGAAAAATTCAATCCGGCCTATGTTGGGTATTTTGTGTGCCTGCAGAGTCGTAGACCTGAACAAAATGAAAAAGCCCTTGACTGGATTTCGGGGGCCTAATATTATTCTGCCACCCTGGGCAGCCCAGGTTCTGTTGTTGTGTAAAATAGAGTGAATGCAACTTTCCGCTTCACGTCTTTATGGCTTCATGCTCAGAGTGACTGGCTGTGAGGGTCTGAGTGCTGTGTTCTTTCAGCAGTCGTCGTGTGGTCTCAATCTCTTTACACGTTTCACTGCCAGGCTCTTCTCTACCAGGCCTCCCCAAACTGAGTAATCAGCAGATGTCTTTATAGAGCAGCCCACTGCCATGTGCATACCCTGCATTCTTTGCCAGTTTCATTTTGGCAATATATAATTTTTTTCCTTTAGATTATTATTATTCTTTCAAGCCCAGCAGCCATGTTGATTTGGTTCTTAATGTGGCCTGAGGTTGTGAATACCGCTTCACTCAGCAGTTTGAATTCACATCCCTGAATGATACATCCCGAGTGTACTTAGGTTAGTCCATTCTATTATACCACAGAGCTGCTGATTTAAACAAACTGACGTAAAGTAATTTAAAAGAATCCTTTGACCTTCATAAAGACAAAGTCAAACCAACGGAGCAGGTTTTAGGGATCACCATCCTTGAATAGTTTCAATTGTATAATATTATACACTTGCCTGAATTTCTTCACCCATAGACACAAAAACTGTAACAAAGATCCACATTATGGTGAATTCTCTGTCAGCAAACATGTATTGCAGAATAATGAACAGGAGATATATATTCTAGAAAAAGGACCTACACTCATTTCCAGTGTGCCCGATACCTAGGATGTTTAGTTTTGGTTAGTCCGTGAACATCCTTATTATATCGCATTGCATTGCAGCTAAAATACAAAACATACAATGATGTGAAATGTATTAGCACTAAAATTATAATAATACCTGATATTATTTATACAAAGTTGAAATGCACCTGATAGCCACACACATACATGAGACATTATATCATAATATCAGTGTTGTACTTTACTTTCATTTTATGCTACTTTATTCTTATGATCAGAGGAAAATATTGTACTTTTTATTATACTACATTTATCTGATAGCTATAGCTGCTAGTTTTTTTCAGATTATCGTATAATGAGTTTATAAACTGATACACTGCTAAGGATTAAATCAGGACTGCAAATATAGATTATTTTCTCAATTAATCAATTAATAGTTTAGTCTAAGAAACTTTAAAAAAGTAATGAAAAATGCTCATTAAAGTGATGTCCTTCAATTGCATGTTTTAGTCTTAAACCAAAAATAGAATTAATTTACTATCATATGTGATAAAAACAAAAAACAAGTAGGAAATCCAGGAAGCTGAAAGCAGCAAATGTTTGGCATTTTCTGACACGATTAATCAGTTATCAGAATAGATGCTGATTCATTTTCATTCAATTGTCTACTCCATTATTTGACTAATATAACCACCTGGCAGTATATAACTTCACCTTGTGTAACTATAACATTAAACTGCTTGTTAGAAGTAACAATCTGATCATATAATACATGATACAAAATATACTTTTGACACTTTATTTTGCTGCTAATACTTCTGTACTTTTACTTGAGTGGAATTTTCAAAGCAAGACATTTACCTGTAACAAAGTATTTCTACAGTGTGATACTGCTACGTTTTCTCCAGTAAACATTCTGGATAACTCTTCTAGTCATAAGTCCATAAGTCAGAAACTGTTTGCAAAACTAACTTTTCTGGCCTGAGCGCAGTAACATCCATCCATCCATCCATCCATCCATTATGGGCATGTGGCAGCATGCATTTTCAGAACCATGAGCACCACCTGGGCACCATCAGGGCACCAACATGCCAGTGTTCCTTGTCTGTCACCATCTTTAATATTGCTGCAGAAGGTGGCAGACTTGTTAAGGGTTGGGTACTCGTGAATTGAGCTGTCAAAATTAGCGACGTTTCTGGTTTGTTTAAAAGGCAAAATGGGTCACGCGCTGAGGCAACAACTAAAACCCAAGAGGGATGCCATGATGTTCGTCGCTGGGAAATTATTCATTACTGTATGTTATCAAATATTTTCAATTTTTTTCTCATTACCATCTGAAATGACCTGGCAGTTATTGGAACTAATTATTTCACATGATTGTGTCATAATAAGTCATATGATAGTGTTGATACTTCTGTCACTCACTACTTAATGTCTATCCTGACCTTTGATAGCAATTGTGTTAATGACAACTCCATGAATTCACTTTTTATTAATTGGCGATTTTGCTAGTGTAATGACATGGAGACAGGGAGGTGTATGTGTGTGTTTGTGTGTGTGAGGTGTGTGTGTGTGTGTGTGTGTGTGTGTGTGTGTGTGTGTGTGTGTGTGTGTGTGTGTGTGTGTGTGCATGTGTGAGTGTGTGTCTCATAAGTGGTGATGTTAGACTTGTGCACTTGGCAAGCATTTTTTTTCTTCGCTCCATTTGGTGACAGATTGGGTTTAAATAACATTATATCTTCACAGTTGTGACTCACAAGCCTCAGCGCTACAAAGTCAGGGTGAGGTTTAGCACTTCACATGAGGATGAAGGAGGACCAGGTCGCCTCACTTCGTCTTTTAGTTTATCACTTTCGGCAAGGCCTAATCTGCGACTGAATGATACAAGCCTTTGACACTGTTTTACTGTTGTCAGTCACTTCTCTCTTCCCAAATAAAGCCCATTCTTTCTCCAGCTATGATCTAGCCACTGCATATCTAGAGTGTCTAGTGATAATAATCGCAGATAGTGAGATGGCCTGAAACTATGCAGAACCTTGCTTAAGGCACTTTGGTGAAATGTCCAAAATGCTTTAGAAATACAAATAAAGGTAACAAGCTGACATTTCAAATTAAAAAAGGGTTGGTGGCCAGTGTTTACGTCCCAAAAAAAAAAAAAGACATTGCACCACATTGATCTTAGCATGTTGCATTGTGGGGTGCTAAGCATTGCTGAATGCTTCTTAGCTACCATGCTAACAACAACGCTGCAGTTTTCGACATAACTTTGAATTTTTCAGCTGAGGTCATAGCAGGGTGCGTCTCCTCTCTGAGCCCCAGGTAGTAGGGCATGCAGGGGGGATCTTTTTCTAATATCGATGCTTCGGGCTTGTAAAGCTCCTCCGACATTAATGTTGCATTAACTCTCTGAGCCAGTATACATTACTGTCGGCCCTGCCCTCCTCATCAGCCATGTTTGTTTTTGCTGGTGTTGCGCTATCAAAGGCTAACTGCTTTACAGCACCTCCTGGTGCTCCTCAGGAGGAAACTTTTCCTTTTGGAATAAAGAATTCAGCCCACAGATTTAAAAGGTAATACATTCTGTTTTGCTATTTATTAATTTTTTTACTTTCATAAGTTAATAAAATGTTGTGAACTTGCACTGATTTTGCTGAAGGGATCCTGAATATGTCATTATAGTGTCCAAAGATCGACTGCACACACTCCACAGATAACTTACTGCTCACTACTGCTTGTCCTTTAACTTTTCCTTGGCTAAACCCAAATGGCAGATGAAGCATTGACTGTGTCATGCCTTTTTCAAGCAGTAAGTGTGGTGTACTTGTTGTCCAAGAAAGATACACTGGAATGTGGCCTTATGCTCTAAAGCTTTACTTACGGTCTGCTTTGGCGCACTTGTTCTGTCCTGAGCTGCCTGTCCTTCAAATCCAGGGCTTAGTATGAGGTGGGGCACAGAGGAGGGATAAGGGCTGTCACTGCTGCTGCTGGGGCGCCCACGCCAACAGCGCGCAGAAACTAATAAAGACGCACACTGGTAGGACCCCACCGACCAAGCAATGAGATGTCACCATAAACAAGCTGCAGGACGTTGGCAGTCAACTTCCTGGTTATATAATGCTGACCCATTTTTACTTAAAGGAAGGTTGTAGGTCCTCAAGTGTAAACAAATATAAATTCTGAAAAAGTGTTGTTTGTTATTTCTGAATTTTCTCCAACATTAGTGTGATTTATTTCATATTTTCCACTGCTTATACATTCAGACTGAGTTTCATCACTTCGCAGTACAGACAGCAGATGTTGTCTAGCATCGATGTTAGCTGCAGTTATTAAGCCGAGCGAAAGGTTACTAAATCTCTTCACTTTGTCAGTTGCACTTGCTCTTTCAAACCGGCATGTCAGAGTCCTTCAAAAAAGCATCAGCTTACACGTGCACAGGTCACATATCATGTATGTCACCTTTGCAAATATTGAGTGACATCCAGCAGATACTCCCAGAACAGAAAGTGACGCATGGCAGTGCTCAGCTCAGACAAGTGTCGTGATGTGATGTGGCGTGATGGCAGGACAGGTAACGCCATAGATAACCAAAATATACATCAGCAGTCAAAATAGAGAACTGATAGATAACAACAATGACTGAAGTGTAGCCCAGATGTGACAATTTTGAATGGGAATGTTATAACATGCAGAAAAGCAGAGACCGAAAAAGTGTCAATCCATCAATATTCAAGTAAAAATGGAGGTTAATATGACGTACAGTATTTCAATTTCTAGCAATCGCTAAACAGTTAAATTATTTATTTACTTTACAAAATATATATAATTTTGATTAATTGAACTCCAAAATATCAAATCTCAGATTGCCTAAATTATATGTATGTCAAAGAAAAAAGCCTGAAGACCAAACAGCAGGAATAACACTCATGGAACTAAAATATAAGGGTGCTTTAATTTGACGGTGTGAAATTGGAGTGCCTTTGAAGAACAACCACAAAAACCTACTCCCTATTTATTTCGCGTCAATGGTGTGACTCTGACATGTCCCTTTTGTACACTAGAATTATGGTTGGGCTCATTTGAGGTACATTTAAAGAAATATGTGACCAAAACCTTCAGGTGAATCAATTTAACTCGAAAAAATGGTAGTGGGGCCTCTGTGATATAAGCAGGCCTCCCACTTTGAATCCATGTGTTCACAATAGTCTCAGTCTTCATCATCGTCATCATCATCATCATCATCACTACCATTATCATCATCTCCTATTTCCTATGTGTTCTGATTGGTAACAACATTTCCAGAATATATATTGCAAAACAAGAAAAAAAACATACATTTTATCGCTCCCTTTTACAACAGGTGACCAATAGTGTACAAATATTTATTTTATCTTTAATTTTTAAAATTGACGGTGTTTGTTTAAAAGCGAAAAACATTTAAAAAAAGACCACAGCTTATTAAAATTAATGGTCAAATGTTGTTCAATGTTTAACTTTTAATTTTCCGAATAAGTATTACTTCATAACCATTTTTTTTCAATATATGTGAAATTAAAGTAAACACAGAAATTAATTTTAAATTGTTACCGTAATTCAACAAGGTTATATAGTTTGTATATGACTCTGATTTGATTTAATTGTAGTTTTTTTTCTCAAAAATACATCTTGAAATTAATCACATTAAGGAAAATGTCAAAATAAAAGCGATGACAATGAGCAATATATTTCCGCTGTTTTAATTCTAATTTTAAAAGCATATAAGCAAAATGTAAAATGAGCATATTGATAAGCTAAGTAACAGGGCTCAGCTTTAAAATAATAATCATAAAAATGATTGCTAAATTTAAATAAAATTACATCTGCAATCTCACTATCACGAAAGGTGTTTTGTAATTTAAAAACCTGGTTTTGTAACATTATCATGAAGCGTGCACTTAGTTTTGACTCAAATACCTTTTACTAAAGAGAAACAGTTGTAAATGAAAATTATAGTTTTTATCCTAATTTCAGCAGATGGAGAAAAGAAAGTTATGCGAGCATTGTTAAAGTTTTCCAGCTTATGTCAGACAAATGGCATCTGAAAGAACAATCGGAAAGTGATTTTGCATACTTTGTGTTTGTTTAGCTGTTTGTTGAAGAAGCCATCTGTTTGTAAGTTTCTTTGTAATTCTTTTTAATTGTTTATACATTTGCAAAACTTCATGTGCAGCATCAAAAGACAATGAAATTCATTAGCTCCCTGTTTCAAGGTGGTATCTAACTGGCAGAAGATTCTTTTATTTCAAGTCTTTTTATTTCTTCAAGGGACATTGTCTAGAATGAGAGGCTCTCATCATAATCTAATAATATGCAATGATAAATAAGAACCAGAGTTTTTGATCAAAAACAGAGTCAAATCAGATGTTTCTCTTAGATTGAAATGTGAAACTTCTTTCAGTTTGCAGAATGAAAGGCCACCATCTGTTTTTTTGTATGTTCATGTAGAGAGGACATTGAACTGTCAGCAGAGTCCCTCCTACTTATTAGGACACTCACACATCCCCACAACACACATCTTCGAATCTTTTACGAATCTTTTGTATTTTATTTTAATCAGCAGGTCAACTGTATTGAAAGTGCGAACAATAAACATTTGCTTATTAATGAAAACTGTGTTTATATCAATCATTTTATTTTAGCTAATTGCTGCAATGTCTCTGTGAAATTGTATTTTACAAATGTGATACCAAGATCAAAATAAAGTAGTGCTTTAAAAAGATTTTTTTAAAATTTTGATTACATTTTAAAGTTTCGTCTTTCCTTTCTTTTTACCTTTCTTTTTGTCGGAAGAAACTGTGAAAGAAACTTTGACACTCCAAACATTATGGAGTGTTCTGTAAGACCCCAAAAATTATATTCACCACCATAATCTTCACTTTAAAATCTGAGATCAATGGGGAAAGTATACTGGGAGAGAAAGTTATCAGTCTTATCCATCTCTCACATGATTTCCCAAAGTTAACGCATAGCGAGAAAAAAAAGGATAAAAATTTGAAGGCTTTCCTTATGTCATACTATGAAGGCTTTCAACTGCAAAGACTCAAACAGACTTTCATATGAAGCTGTCAGATTTTACTCATCTCATAACTCACAATTCTGGCTGAAAATGTTTACATAGTCACTCATTCTAATACTAAAATCTGGTGGTTATTTTATTTACAATTTTTCTCTAAATTGTAAACAATCTTGTGCTAAGAAAGCAAAATCACATCTTTTAAAAGTGAATCTGAAGCTGTGATGTCAGTCAACCTTTTAGAGACTGAATCGCTTGTATAATAGAGCACATACTGTATATCTGAAACAAAATGTACTAGAGGAGGCGAACTGAGTATTTAGCTGCTCAACCAAACTGGACAAAATGAAAAATTATTCGATTCTGTGGGTTGTGCGCTTTAGTATTGTGAAATGAGCGTGCTGCTTTCAAACAGAATTCGAGTATCAGCTCCATCTTCTTCTTCCCCCTGTTAGCTTAGCAACAGCGGCCATTTTGTCTGCATTTGCATTGGTCCAAATGTGTTTCTCAGGTCATGCCACATTTATTTCAAATTCTGGTCGGGAGATGATAACGCCAATTTCAAGACATTTCTGCAGGACCGAGATCTCTTAATTTGTGCCTTTAACCAAGACATATGGTGGAAAATGTGACTTATATTAGGCATGCGTTGTGCATGTTCCGAGCAGTAATGCTTTCATTTCCTGCTCAGAATGTACCAGAAAGTGTTTAGTATTAACCACATGGCTGTCACACAAATGCACATGCATACAGGAAACATGTGTGTGCATGCGCACAGTACATGTGCACACCACACACACACACACACACACACACACACACACATAAAATAGGATGAGCTGATCCCTTCCTTAGAGTCAACCACCCGCTGCTCCCACTGCCACACTACGTAGACAACCAACCACAGGATGTATAAACCCAGCTGTCCAGAGGTCACCTTGGCTTGTTTACTTGACTGCAGTGGATGCACAGTGGCAGAGTGGACCACCGCCATCCACAACAGCTCACCTACCAACATGTGCTCAACTCTTACTGGATCCTTAGTCACGGTGTATGGGTAAGTAGCACATTCTGTACTTTTTACCCACGTCAGCTGCACCTTAGAAACGCTGTGATGGACAGACCTGCTGAAGACTTCTCTCTCTTATGTCTTTCAACTCTTTGAAAATCTGTACACACGCCATCAATTAGTTATAGATCTACCAATTAGCATCTTCCTTTTTAACTTTGCCAGAATAATTTACTGGAAATCAATTCATTTTTAATCTAGTGTTTCACAGTAGTAGTTGACTTGGGCTACCAGGGGACTACTGTAAAATACTTTCCTCCAACTCTTTTCTGAGCCTGAAACAGAAATGACCACACTGTATATGAGGGAGATGGTCAATTTAATGCATGAAATCTTCTCCAAATCACTGCATGTTTATGAAAACACCCGCGGAAACACGCAAAGCTCCAAAAAATAAACGCTGTTTTAACAACTACACAAGCTGTGTTAACTGTCTCTGCATTTCAGAGGTTTATGGGCCCGTTTTCACTTCACAGGCCGAGAGCCACCAGTCCTGGACGCTATGACACGCTTATACGTTCTCCAGGTACTAACTCAGCTACTGTATGTTGTCGCTCTGCACACACACAAACACACACTCACAAACACGCCCACACAGACACTCACCTCTGCACTGCTGAATCACACCACTATGGAATCACTGGAGCCTCGTCTGATTCTGGTAAGGTCCAAAATGTCCACGTTATTGGCACAGAGTGGTAAAAAGACTGTCTGGGAGTGAGGCCCGGAGACTGGGCTTTCTGTGTTTCCAGAGAGCTGCCCTGACCACCCTGGTAAATATAAGAGAGCAAATCCTTTTCAGGTTGAGAGTATGACACGGGACTGCCACATAAATCAGTGCAGGCCCAGCCCGGCACAGGCTGGGAACGCCATGGGAGTGGTAGGCGGCTCTACGGTGAGTTTTTGGGGAAGGATTATGGATTGAGACATACAGCTGGGAGGCTAAAGTTACACTTTTCATTACCACTTCGAGGGGGTCTTGGCTGCCTGGAAGCCAGTCAGATTTGTGAAGACCTCTTTCTCCCCCTGGAATGGTTGTAATTCTACAGGCGCATTCTTCACCTGAGGACAATTGTTTTTGATATGGCAAAAACAATTTGGTGAAACGTGATGGGAAATACTGTTTTTTCTTTTTTTTCTTTCTTTTTTTTTTTTTGCCAATGGAAGAATGAAAAAATAAAGAAAAAGGAGAGGGCATTGTGAAAAGTCCTCATTCACCAAAAGACCAGAGTAAAGAGAGAGCAGTATGCCCCCTTCTGGCTCTTTTCTTCTCTCCCTCTTTTCTTCTCCTTTTTTCCCTGGCGTCTGGAGATGTGAAGAAATGTCTTTTGATCAGCTCTGACAGAGCCTGGGCCATGTGAAGAGGGTGGCTAGCGGGACTCTGCCAATCCATGCAAGGCAAAAATGTTCCTAATAAGAGAGTAATAAGCTAACGAGTGCTGGGTGTCTGTCTGATCCACATTCTGGGTACTGTTTGTGCCAGCACTCCTAGTGCCTTCTGACGTGTACCCGACTCTCATCAGTCTTTTAGACTGTTTGCCAGGTCACTGCATTTCACCTGGTCTGTCCCATATGCTCTCACCAATGGTGCAATAGTCTGAAATTTAAAAACCTTGTGGGCACAACAAAATTGAAAGTGGGAGTAATTCTATTTCTGATTTTACACACATTGCAGGATTGTTGATGTTCAGAATGTACAATATGTTTTGTATTTGCTTTGCTGAAAATATATAGGGGTGGAAAAATAAAGTGCAGGATTGGTTTTGAGCAAAGCAAATTTGTCTCACCTTGCCCACACAACATCAACTTGGGCTATTTCCACAACTGACTGCTTCCATTGTATGTGTGGGTTTGAAGTGGTCACATATCAAAGGGCTCTGTCTCTGCAGGGTGGATTCTCTGGTACTCTGTACAGCACAACAAGGAGATAGTTACCTCTCACAGCTTCTCACTGCAGCATCCCAGCCCAAATAAACACATCACCTCCACTGCAGGGGGAGGAGGACAACAGCACAGCTGCCAGCCCCCTCTTTTTTTCCTACCCAGCAGCAGCACCAGCCAAGTCCATAGTGCTGCGGGGCATCCCAGGCATGAACAGGTGCTCTGTTGGTGGAGTCAGGCTTGGTTTTAGGCCTGATTCTGGGCCTGTGCTAAGTGCTGGATGTGTGAGGGTTGGTGAGGACTGGCTGGCCAGACTTTAATGGTGTGTTGGTGAGTCCATGGGCTCAGCGCTGGTAATTATGGTGGGGAGAAGGCGATTAGGCAGTGCTGAGCAGCCCAGCGAGGGGGACGGGCCCACGCCCAGCAGGGAGGGGAGTCCTGCCACGGGAGGGACCAATCAAGTGTAAAGCAGAGCGCAGACCCTGGGCCTTGGTTCAGTGGGAAAAGCCTTGGCCACTGGTTCAGAGCGCCGCAACTTTCACGGATTAGTAGAGACACTATTCTGAAGACTGAAAGGGGGAACACAGCACGGAGGCAGCATCAATGCATGCGTGCACGCACACAAACACACAGTCACACAGCCTCTCTCTCTTTCTTTTTCTCTCTCTCTCTCCCTCACACACACACACACACAAAACCCACTAACAGCTGGGAGGAGGGCTACAGCCGTTGCCATATTACCATAGCAACGGCATATCTCACATTTGAGCCCAAATGAAGACACTTTGGGCTGCAACCAGGATATTTATTCTTCCAGTTAATGGAAGTATTTTAATAGTTTCTCTCCCTGCTTGTAGAACGCTTCCCCCTGACTGAGTTAATGAGCTGCAATTGGAGGTGCTCGGTGCATCAGACAAGCATCTTGTCATTTTGCAAATTACAGGATATCTACACTGCAAATTTAACTTGTGTATTTATG